CAATTTAGAACGATTTGTTCTAATTCTAATATTATTGCGGTTTACAGCGCAATAGAAATCAAACTGCCAGCTTAGGTGAATTTTGAGGTGCTATGATTATTTGTCTTGCGAAAGAATCAAGAAGATTATATATTCCGTGGCTGTATGGCTGCAGCGAAGCAACGATCATGTTCTACATAATCAAAGACTCCTACTTTTGTACTCGATTGCTTCACTACTCTCACACGAGATCTCGCGATTTAAATGTTACATTGCGACGCATTTCGTTCCGATCGGTGCATAATGCAATATTTTCATGTTACGTTCGCCTACGTGGCGAAAAGCTTGTTTCAACGATTGAATCACTAACGTTATGTCACCCTATTTGCAGTGTAATAACCTGGCAAAAACACATTGTTCTTTCACATTTCGCGTACTTACCTACCTACTCAAGAATCGCGTACGGGTGCTCTCCTTACCGTAAGAGAAAGTCTCGTAGATATATATGTGTGTAGATATGCACACATAGTTATACGTATCAGTCACTACATATATACACGCCTACAGAAAATCATCGCAGACTATCTTCTGGTCCGTGCATTCTAACAAATAGAAACACTCGGCTAATTGTAAAAATCTATGATTTGACACGTAATTTGTACCGGTGATTATCTGGGCTAAGTCATATATTTTTTTAGGTACTTTTTAACTTTTGGGTTTGTATATTAAAAAATATTTTTTTGTTATGTAATAAATATTTCCCAAAACACTTATAAATCTTTTCCGTGATTGTAAAATTTTATTTTTTTTAACTTGTGAGAAAATATGTTTTTTATACCACAAATAACTTAAACCGTTTTCAGAATTAATAATAAGTTTTAAATATATAACTTAAACTTAAACTTAACTTAAACTTAACTTAAATTAAAATATATAACTTGAAAATATAACTTGAAACAAAAAATATTGAATTTTGTTGAAAAACAAAATAAAAATATATCCATTTACACTTTATAATTATAATTATGTTTAATTAATCTACATCAATATTCTAGTTTTTTTTACAGTAGTATTTCCAATTTCTGAAGTCTCGAGTACTTTAAAATATTTATAATATTATTTTATATTATTATATAAAATTTATTTACCTAACTGTTACATCTGACATAACGAAAGAATAAATATTTATTTTCAAAATATAAGTTTATCAGAGTGATAAATGACTTAGATCACTGTCAAAATAAATATGAATTGAATTCTGTTTAATGACACAATTTTCAACGCCATTAAGCGACGTTTTCAACTATTTTACAAAAATGGCTCCACGTTATTATAATATAGATCGATATAACACAAAAAAAGGGATAAATTCAATTTTTAAGAAATAAGTGTAGAACAGACCTTTGTAATTATATTCAACTGTGTTGATAATTTGAGGTAAAGAGCTGGCATGATGTCGGAGTTTTTTAAAATTGTTTATTTTAAATCCAATTCAATTTTAATTTATCATCATACGTTTCGGCCGTAGGATTCGGCCATCTTCAGTGACATTAACATTTGATTATTAAATCCGATGTAAAATATTGTTTAATCTTATACTTAATAGTTAATAGCGATAATTGTTCTGGCTCTTTATCCCAAATTATCAACACTGTTAGATTCATTTCTTCTTTTTACTTATGTTAGTCTAGTTCCATGATTACTCACACATTTGTATCCCAATATCTGATTAATATCTGATCTAATTTATCTTTAGGAGAAAACTATAAATTTATTAAAAGATAATTATTCAGCTAAATTTTAATTTTAAACTTTTGTTATGTATCCAATATTTTTGGATTTTTTTTTCTTTTATGTTTTGCGCGTTTATATTTACATGAAATTATTATTAGAGGATCAATCAAAATAACCATAACAACACGACAAATGTGATACCGGAATTATATCTATGACAATAATATATAAAAAATTTGCAAACGAATCGAAAGATTCTAATGCAAATTAACACTGGCACTCCTATATAAGTGCCACAAAGTGAATGTTTTTGATCATTCCAGCCTTGATCCCAGATGTAATATTGTCACGGATAAAGTTGTATTTCTTCTACAATCTATATTTGACGATAAATGTACACATTTTCAATTTCTAGATTGTATCTTGTGCTTTAAAACGCAATGTGTGAAAAAAAATTTACTACATATTTCAAAATAAAATCAAAAAAATATAGAATTTGTACATTTATACGCAAGTGTGAAATTCACTCTTATGTAAAATTGCATTGTATCTTTTTAAAAAATTACAACGCTAATATTCAATCGAAACTGTTAACCAAGTATCGGCACAAGAAATTTCGCGCTTAGAGATGTTGAAGCACACATTAACGAGTATATCTTTTTCCTTAAAACATGTCATTCTGTTAAAATTTATTTGGAAAAAAATTAATGAAGTCGATATAATACTGTTCCACACACGCACACATTCTCACATTTGCTGACTAATTATTATGGCCTGACTTGATCCTAATGGATCAACATTCTTCTTGCGCAACAAGAGACGCAAAGACCTTTAACGCCGCGCCGTTGTTTTTTCTGATTTCTTGGCGCGACGCTCCAGGCTGAGTAATTTATACGGCTGTCGGTTTCACTAGGCCTTGACACCTACGGTTAACGATCGAGACGCACCATCTTCGCGAATTATTATTAGAAAGGTTAAATTTCTTGCATAATTTCTCGTTAATAATTAAATTAACATAAATTAAACATTATTTCAACAAATTAAATCTCGATATCCACGTTTTATGAACAATAATAATTTAATCTGTTTCAATTTTATCCGTCAATTTTAGATTTAGATTATTCCAAAACAATTATTTTTTTGATGCATATTATACATTTTGCCGTTATAATAAAATAACCATAAAATGTAATTTTATTTAACATATATGTATCATATACGTTACGACATAAGGACTCAAAGAGTTAATTTTGATCTCCGTTTCAAATGTTATTTAATATGACTTTTTTTATTAAAGTTTTTATTAATTTATCGCAGCAGCATATTTGAATGAAAATTATTCTTGAATAAGATATAATTAAAGTAATTTTAATTTTCTTAATATAAAATAATTGAATAAAATAAAAGATTATTAAGCAAGAATATGTTATGTTACAAAGTTTATGTTAATAAATTGAACGGAAGAAGAAAATCTGTGATTTTACGAGAAAGACGATAAAAATAAAGCGCAAAAAGGCAGAACTCGAAAAGACATCTTGTTGTTGAATGTAGGAATAAATAAAGATGCCGTAGCAACTCCCCAAATAAAGATTATCGATTCTTTCATGTCGCGTTTTGCTCTCGAAATAGCGGAATTGCGCTTCGCTAGTTGTCGTTGCGATAAAAAAGATAAACTTGTCAAAGAGCAATGCTGCATTTAATAGTTTCCTGTTGTCTTTCTCATTTTATCATTATTCGAAATTCGAGAGCTGCTCTGACCAGCTCCGCATTTCTAATGCAAGGATCTTCTGTACAATGTACTTTGCGTGATTCAGATGAAACTTCACTTTGTGAAAGTGTCTGAGTCAATCGTGACATTCTCTGATATCTCTCATTCCTTTTTGTAAAATCCTCACTTTTTTCTTTGAAAACAATTTCAGAGAAAGAAACATACGATGTATGGTAAGATTGCATTAGCAGTATGGTGAGAGAAATATTAGGGCGATTAAAAAAAGAATGACTAGGGAAATTTAAGAGAAATCTAATAGCAGTGAGGAGTAATCAATAAGCATGAAAAATTCTGTAAACATTAGCTATATAAAGCTTGTCAATCCTCTTCTTAAATATATTTTCAAGATTTTCAACTCATTAAAGTTATATATTGTTTTAATTCCTACTTCAAATGTAATGTACTATGCAAGATAAAAACATTAACACATGTAACACATAAAGATTTTAACACATTGGATAAAGAAATAGAGACTTTGTAGTTGGTTGTGAAAAGCTGAACATTCTCAGTTCTTTCTTATTTAAAAAAAAAAGAAGAAAAAGAAAGAATAAAAGAAAGGTGGAAGAGAAGGATGGGAGGAAGGGAAGGAGAGAGGGAGAGAGAAGAGAGAGATAGAAAGAGAGAGAGAAAAAGAGAGAGAGAGAGAGAAATTTTATAAATGTATTTCTTACTACGCAAATATACTTTTTTATTGTATATAAAATAAACAATTATAAACAGGGACTTGGACTGAATAAGAACCGGAACCGGAACCGAAAAAAAAAACTGAAAAAAAAATAAATAATTTAACTGATCCGATTATAGTTCCGATGTTATAAACTTTATGAAATTTTGGTTCAAATACAGTTTCGGTTTAATCAAAAAACAAAACAATTATGATTACGGTTCCGGTTCCGGTTACCGGTTTTTCCGGTTAATTCCGGTTCAGTCCGAGTCCCTGATTATAAATATAACTTTCTTCTATTTAAATTTAATAAATATATCGACGGGACATCGCAAATTATATGTAATGATATAGTATAATATCGAAAAAAGTTGGGCTCAATTGAACTATCAGTCGAACGTACTAGCTAACTAGTCTACTAGGATCTTTCAAAGTATTTTATTGTCTCTGTGTGTAGATCGAGTGTGCCAAGTTGCATCGAATTCAACTGTAAGTACACGCAGTGTTCACTTTTTTATAGGCTGGTGGGGAAGTCTTCAGGTGGCCGTGGTGGGTGGCGGTATAAGTAGAGGCCTGCATTTGCCACCGTTCTCATACCCTCACCACATCTTTCGGCTACCTCTTACTTTTACCTAGTGCTCCTTTTCCCACTTTTTCTTTCTCTCTCTCTTTCTCTCTCCCTCCCTCC